CACTCTACACTAGAATTAGGGATGGCAACGAGGCAGGTCGGGTACGGGTTTCATGATACTTGTCCTCATCCTCGCGAGTCAAATCTATCCATGTCCCCGTACCTGTACCCGTCGGGTATATAATTTTCATCCCCATCCCCATCGGATATCGGGTATACCCGTACCTGTACTCGTCATTTTTTTTTTGTAAAAGAAATATGATATTTTTAAATTATTTTTTTATTATATTATAATTATAATTAGGTTATTTTTCTATCTCATATTATAATAAATAATCACACATAAAATAAATTAAAATTCTTTAATATAATTAAATTGAAAGTGGGTATTAAATTAAAAATGAGAACAGGGACGAGTATGGGTACAAGTACGGGGTAGGTAAGTACATACCCTTATCCGTACCTGATTTAATATATCGGGTTTTACTCGTACCCGTACCCGGTTAAATTGGATATTCCCTGTCAAAATCGGGACGGGTTCTGGTATTACTCGCGAGTACAGGTATATTTGTCATCCCTAACTAGAATGATATACTACTAAGGTCTCATTGGGATAACTGAATCGCATAAGATTTGCCTCATGCACACAATGGACAAGACTAGAGCTTCCCAAACCAAACTATCCTCGAGGATTGATCCCCAAACTATTACCCAAGGGGCCTTTCCCTATCGGTGTATTCCATATCATATCAATCACAAAACACTCATGCAAATGATCAATGACATTTTAACTCTCATGCAAGATCACAATCACAATTTCATATCCACATAGTATCTCAAATCACAATTTCACTTCACTATTAAGGCATACTTATGCTCTTCAAATCACTTTCACATATTCACAGTATTATAGGTTTGCCACAATGTCACATACTCTATAGAATTCCAATGCCATACACTTAATTAACATCTCATCCATAAGAATCACTTGTTGTAAAGTTCATACATATACAACATTTTTACATAAAATTCAATTCTAAAAATAGGGTAGTGCCCAACAAGACATGCCTTACACACAACACACTCGAGGTCGCAAGCCTCTAAAAGGATCACGCTTGACATGATTTTTCTCATGCTTAACGAGATCACAACAAGGAGCCCGTGAAGCTCTCGTGCTTGACATGACCAAGTTCACGCCTGGTGTGAATAAAGTTGCGAGCACTCTAGAACTATCATGCCCAACGTGAACCACCTCACGCCTAACGTGATCGTCCTAGGGGTAAATTATGACTCTCGAGCCACGTGAGCCCAACTTGTCACCCAATGTGGTATTAGTAAAACAAGTTCTACATAATTTGCATTTTCCACGTTTTGTTTCTACAATTACTACGAATTTTATCAAGTAAGGAGCATCTAAGGTCTAATTAATTTTGTACTCAAACATGTTATTGTCATTATTCAAATAGTTTTCCAATTAAGGATTTAGATATATCCTTAAGGTTTTCTTGGGAACCCATAGGTACTCATGAATTCATAAACAAATTGAACTCACAAATCAAACACATAATCACGTACATATATCATTCAAATCACAACAAATACTCATGGATCTTCAAGTTCTTCTCCAACTGCCTCATGTTTTCTTCTCTCTTTAGATCACAAGATACACGATCAAATTTTGCAAGTGAGGCAAATTAACCTAGTTACTAACGTATTTAACCGAAAACCCTAACCATCACCCACATGCATAGTTCGTCAGCATAAGTCCAAATAAATTATTCTCACTAATTTGAATTTTAAACAGATAATAAACTACTATAATCTTATCTTATCTCAAAGAATATATTATCTTTCAATTAATTAAATAGAAAATCTTTTATTAATTTATTTAAAAAAAAGTGGATGTTACAAGTAGTGTGCTATAGGAAAAGTATGTACACAAATAAAATATTACTCCTTTTATCTATACTAGATAGTAGAATATCTATAACTAAATCAAGTTGTAAAAAAATGCATAAAATAATCATGTTTATGGTTTTGTATCATTTATCCTAAATCTTATTTAATTTTTTTTAAATAATAATTAATTTGAACAAAATATAATGGATTAAATAAGTAAATAAACCTCTACTTTTTAGAGTTGACTATTATTAATTTTGATGAGAGAATAATTTTTTTGTTATTTAAGGTAATTTTATATTAGTTTTATTAAATTTATTTATTATATTCAAGACTTTTATATTTTTTACAAATATGTTATATTTTTTTAGTGCATGTAACTTTTTTTTTAATCCGCGAATTCATTTTCTTTTAACATAACTTTTGTTAGTTTTTCTATTTATATTATTGATATGACACTATTATTGATTTTATATTTTATTTTTATTTTAAAAGGGCAAATATCTTTCAAACTAAAACTATGAAAGAAAGATATTATATAAATGTCTACAAGTACAAAATATATTATACTCATATATATATATA